AGGTGTAAAGTGGTTATCAGAATTCTCCCTTTATGAAGTAGTGCTGATGAAGGTGTAAAGTTGTTATCATAATTCTCCCTTTATGAAGTAGTGCTGATGAAGGTGTAAAGTTGTTATCAGAATTCTCCCTTTAACAACTGGCGTTACTGAAGGTGTAAAGTTGTTATCATAATTCTCCCTTTAATAACTGGCGTTACTGAAGGTGTAAAGTTGTTATCATAATTCTCCCTTTAATGAAGTAGTGCTGATGAAGGTGTAAAGTTGTTATCATAATTCTCCCTTTATGAAGTAGTGCTGATGAAGGTGTAAAGTTGTTATCAGAATTCTCCCTTTAACAACTGGCGTTACTGAAGGTGTAAAGTTGTTATCAGAATTCTCCCTTTAATAACTGGCGTTACTGAAGGTGTAAAGTTGTTATCAGAATTCTCCCTTTATGAAGTAGTGCTGATGAAGATGTAAAGACGTTTTCAGACTTCTGTCCTTAACAAGTGGTCTTACATAATGATAATTAGTAAAGTTGTGACGAGAGTGGACCATCCAGAACATTAATGAATCAATGAGATTCAAGATGTATAGTGTTTTGTTGGATTACAATAAATAAGTACTGACGTAACTTATACTGTTTATCTGGCGGTACAACGAAACGAAATCCACTTTACAAGCTAACGATATGAGTTACATGTATGAGATGATATAAAAATTCATAGTCCTATAATAAAAATGTTGTTATGTTTTTCAGTTGAAACCTCAAGGGCACGAAACACTTCTCCGTTCTCCCATTACCACTGGTCGTTTTTAGGTCAAGTACTGAAGCTAATTACTCTGGATTGAAGGCGAGACGGTCTAAGTAAGAGTACGTTTTAAAACCGTTATAACTCTTGTACTGAGTGTAATCGATACTCAAAAAACAGGTTCATACTTTCCATAAAGGAGAAACATCAGGTAACTAGAAATTGTTTAATTATACCAATAAGACGAAAAGTGATAAATATAGAATAGCATACCATAAATCGTAAAGATTCTTTGAAATTCTACAATTATTTTTTAAATATACTAAACTTAAGAAAATATTATCTGGAAAATGGCGTAGGATATTCTTGTACAGAATATGATCCAGAATGTTTTATTACAATCAATGATATACGTTTTCTTTGTATTCCCGCAAAGTTGTAAAGTGGGCTACCAATCTGGTGTCCGCTGTATGCATCGAACTCCAAATTCAAGCATTTTAAGCCCACAAACACCACAGAAAGACTTCTTGTAAGATCAGTGGTATATACTCAATCGCCCCCTTGCGTCCAACTATATATTCCAAATATTATACAAGAATGTCTTTCAACGGTTTGTTTGTGTTTAAGAACAAAAGTACACAACGGGCTATGTACGCTGTGCTCACCAGGTATCGAAACCCGATTTTGATTGTAAAAGCCATCAAGCTCTGAACCACTGGAATAACAAAAATCATGCCTTTCTTAAGCTCCGGACTGAAAAAAACCAACAAAAAACTAGTTTTAGGTTATCCCAAAATCAACGAAATTATATATATATCTTTTAAACCATAAAACTGTAATTATTACGTCTTAAGACAGGTATTAAAACCACAGTTATTACTTATTTGAAATTATTGAAAAAAAGAAAATACAGCAACAATAAAAAAAGAACAAACGTAATAATTAGCTCTTGTGGGCCCCCCAGTGGCACAGTGGTATGTCTGCAGACTTACAACACTAGAATCCGGGTTTCGATACCCGTGGTGGGCAGGGCACAGATAGCCCAATGTGTAGCTTTGTGCTTAATTTCAAACAAACAAGCTCTTGTGGAGCATTTGTTCTCATTTATGCTCTGTTCAAAATCATTTTGCGTTTCTGTAGGATTGTTTGTTTTTAATTATGCACAAAGTTAAACAAGGGCTATCTGTGCTCTGCCCACCACGGGTATCGAAACCCGGTTTCTAGCGTTGTAAGTCCGCAGACATACCGCTGTAGGAAGTAAAGTTTTGTGTTAGTTTATTAACTAGCCCTTGTTTCTTAATGAGCAAGCCGACATGAAACGTAACTCGAGACTGAAGTCTATTTTTTTACATCCTGCCATTGATCAACATCTCTAAAAGTTAGTTTGTATTGAATCTCACCCTTTGGTGTGATGCGGAAATGAAACTTGCACCGTTAGAAAGTAGTTGAGCATATGGCCACAAGATGGCGCGGTAAGTTTTGGATAAGATTATGTGTATTTACTAAAAGTTGTTCATTTGTAAAGAGCTGGTGTTCGTGGAGCACGTGCTTTCATTTGAAGTTTACTGACTCTGTGGTTTTACTGAGGAAAGGTAGGTGTTACTATAGATATTTCAGCTGCATTTCAAACTTTATAAAATCATCATTTCTTTTCAACTTAAGAATTCAAAACATAACCTTTTAGAAAAGTTCAGAGATTACTAACGCGATCTTCCTGGTAGTTCCCACTTCATCATTTCAATGTATTCTGCTTGCTAATAACCAATCTATTTTATTTGTGAAGGATATTTTTATAGACAAAGGATAAAGCTAAGTCAAAATTAATCCTTAAAGAATCATATTTGCTAATTACCACATTGTTTTACATGTAAAGGATCTTCTTATAGAGAAATAACTAAATTGGTCCAAATTAATATTTTTCTTGTCGCTGGATTTTTCAAACGTTTATTTGTCTATTACTAGAATATTTGAATGTTACAGCATTATATTGTTTGTTTTAGTACTGGTTCGATTTTTGTAAAGTATTAGCTCACAGTTTTCAACTTTAACTAGTAAATCCTTTATATATATTTAAATACGATGGTTGATTTTCTTAAGTTTCAAACCATGTATCCAAATTATAAAGATAACAATGTCTAGGTTCATTTGGAACATCGTACTTCTAGTTTTGTGGTTCTTTTGACCCTGAAGTTCTCACTAATGACCCAGTTTTTCTTCATCTATTATTTCTTCACAGTAACTTAATTGTTTATTTAGGCGTTACTTGAATCAACACGTGTTTTAATGCAGACCGTAAAGGTTTCCTATCAATTACAGCATCGTGTTGCTTTCAAGGCCGGCCGATCATCCCAGAAGATAGAAAACAGCAGTGGATACATGGTTGTTTCCAGGGAACAAAATGAATCTCTTCAAGATGTTTTCCATTTCCTTTTTGTTCTGGTGTTTTGTTTTTATTCCATCTCGCTCCGAGTCTTGTGGAGAAGTCAGCTTTAATGTAACCAGCGGGATTGTACGTTTACCAGACATCCACTATGACGTCATAAAAGAGTTGAACTGTCTCTGGTTCTACACCGCGCCTCCCGGAAGGGAGCTTCTCGTGAAGGTCGACCATGTCCATTTGGATCCTCCACGTCGTTGGTGGGCCTCTTTGAAGCTGGACGTAGATGACCAGACTTTTGAGCTTCCAAGTAAATGTGTACGTTGTTTGTCAGAGATTGTAGCTGGACAGGAACTAAGAGTGGTTTTTACCTATACAACCAGATCTTCTAAGCGTGGCACTGGTTCTGAGCCTATTGGTTCGTTTCAGATCCGATTTAAAGCTTTTGACCCATTTCTGTGCGATCGCCCGGTGCCTCCAAAAAACGGATACATTATTACAGAACAAAGAAGAGTCGGCAACACTATTGAGTACAGGTGCAATCCTCCGTTTGAACTAGTAGGGAATCCTGATTCCCGATGTAGAATCCCAAAATCAAGCCCAATTCCGGAGTGGTCTGAGCCCGCTCCAGAATGTATAATTCCAGACTGCACTGGTGGGGTTATTCACAAAGTTGCGGGAAGAGGTGCAATCTCAAACCCAGGTTATCAGTCAAAACGGTTGTTACCACAAAGACAATGTCGATGGGAAATAATGGCTGGGAGAGGAGAAAGAATAAAGATGGTTTTTACTTATATCCAATTGAAACAAGAAGAATCTACGGAATTAAAGATTTACGACGGCGATCTTTTTAGGCCTTTAACCAACCTAACTCTTCTGACTAACAAGAAGAAACCAGAACTTGTTACAAGCACAAATAAACTTATTATTTTCTTCACAACAGGGGATGTTCCAAACTCCAGTGAGTTGCAAGGTTTTTTTATTGAATACTGGAACATTTCGGGGTTTTGTTTCCATCCAGGACAAATAGAAAACGGTGAAATCATTAGCCAGAATTTCACAATAGGCTCTAATATTAGGTTCCTCTGTCATCCAAACTTTCATCTTATTGGGCCACAATCTGCAATTTGTCTTCCTGGTGGTAGATGGAATGTATCCAAACCAAGATGCCATTTTTTGAATCTAACTTTATCTTCATATGAAACATTTGGTTTATTCGAGTTTTTAGTGAATTCAAGACCTTCGCAAGCGCCAGTTGGATCTCCACAGAGCTCATCTGATATGTCCAATACAACCCTGCCCTCTAGCAGTGAGGATGAAAAAGATTTTGTATTTTCTGTAACTCCTACTTTTACATCTTTTTCAAGAAATTCTCAGAGTAAAACGGTTGAAACGACAAATTTTAACAGTTTGTCGCACCCATTATCTCCTACCTCAACAGAAGATAGTAAAAATCAGTTTCATGACGTTCAGGGAAATTTTAACATTGACCAAGAAAATAAGAATTCTTCTCGATCATATTCACATAAAATCCTCAAGAACATCTCAGGTTTATATCCTGTTCAACACAATAGGACATCAAACCAAAATACACGACCTAGAACCGTAGTAAAAGAACAGAAATATAGACCGTCAAGACATAGACTTTCAGAACAAACAACTACGTCAATTCTAGAGGTAAGAAAATTATTGTTTAGGTTTTGGTTTGGAAGTACAAATGATATGAATATTTTTTATTTGTAACGTAGTAGTATATGTGTATCTCAACAATATAACTGTAACTTAAGTTGATGTGGTCTTGTAACGTAGTAGTATATGTGTAACTTAACAATATAACTGTAACTTAAGTTGATGTGGTCTTGTAACGTAGTAGTATATGTGTATCTCAACAATATAACTGTAACTTAAGTTGATGTGGTCTTGTAACGTAGTATATGTGTATCTCAACAATATAACTGTAACTTAAGTTTGATGTGGTCTTGTAACGTAGTAGTATATGTGTATCTTAACAATATAACTGTAACTTAAATTGATGTGGTCTTGTAACGTAGTAGTATATGTGTAACTTAACAAGATAACTGTAACTTAAGTTGATGTGGTCTTGTAACGTAGTAGTACCTGTGTAACTTAACAATATAACTGTAACTTAAATTGATGTGGTCTTGTAACGTAGTAGTATATGTGTATCTCAACAATATAACTGTAACTTAAATTGATGTGATCCTGTAACGAAGTAGTACCTGTGTAACTTAACAATATAACTGTAACTTAAGTTGATGTGGTCTTGTAACGCAGTAGTACATGTGTAACGTACTAGTAAACTTGTAGTTTAATATCTGTAATTAGAACTACAGTGAAGACAAACTTAGAAGAAAAAGAGTATTTATTGTTCCTAGACTGGTAACGGAATTGTAAAATAGTTTAATTATTGTTGTATTATTAAAACTGGGACGTTATACGTGTCTTACAACTTTAAAAACTTGCAGTGATTGACATCCCGCTAGGTTTTGTGACTCATGAATCGCTGTTAATGGACAGTTCTAGGCTTAACATTCAATGTAAGTAAACATAGTGTTTCGATCGTGTTGCTTGCAGACTTTCTTCTGACAATCTAGTTAATGTCTATGTACAACCAAGTCGTTTCTTGATAGCTGCTCTTAAGATAAAGAAGTATCCTTACTATGAATGGGTGGTCCAACATGGGAAAAGGTCGCTAACCGTAAAAACCAATCAAGATCTGAGCTGTGACAGTTCGCATATGAGAGCTTTGAGTCTTTAGTTCAAAGGGGAAAAAAGTGGGGGTGTAGTTGTCGAATTTAGCAGATAGACACTGGCAGTAAACAAGAGCGTATTGTGGTGTAAAAGGGGAGGGGGAGTTAGAAACCCGAGCTTGTTGTAGTGTTGAAGCAATTTGTTGTGCATAACTGTCTCCACTAGCACTAACTGATGATAAGTGGCCAGAAATATGAACTTGAGAATTCTCTGTATGGGGGCGGATTGGAGGAAAAGCGAGGGGTGTACTCCACCCTCCATAAAGTTTTTTGACAAACCAGCTTCGTAAAATTAACAAATCATTGTCTATTTTCACGTGAGTGGCCAGTGTCTGGATCTTTGGTACACTATATGTGAACGAAGTGAAAAACACGCGTGTAATAATTATTTGGAAAATATTTATTATAAATACATTTCACGTTAGTTATACAAGCAACAGTTTATTACACCGGAAGTAGATGTATAAAAACAAAAAGAAAACAGCAGTTCTTGGTTTATAGAGTGTCATATATATATGAAAACAAAAAACACACCCCGAGTTACTTTAAACAGATAACGATGTTTGGATAACATATAGTTAGCGCCCCCTATAGATCAATAAAGACAACTTTTGATTAGGAATCCAGCATTAACTCGTACATTATCATATTAAAATCTTAGGATGAATAAGTGACTGTAGTTGGGAATTGAAGAAATCTGAACCTTCAATTAAAGAGCCAAAAGGCAACAAATTATGTAGAGATTTTAAAATTGTTATTGTTTTTTTGTTTTTACAAAATGTTTGACGAGCTTTGCGATTGAAAGCAAACAGGAACATGATTCGTTGCATATGTTTTTGCTGTAAAAAGGTTAGAAAACGAGTAAAGATTTCAAGCAAAATGTTTTACATTTCTGTATTTTTAATGCCTTTTTTTCCACAGGTGGGTTTTCTTCATCCAGATCAAACAATTTCATTCCAGCCAACACAACTATCTACTCCAAGTAACTTGCAGCCATATCTAGACCCCCAAATGGACTCATATGCGTCAGATAAAAAGAAGACAGATCTAAACCCCCAAGTGGACTCGCATGCGTCAGATAAAAAGGAGATAGATCTAGATCCCCAACTGGACTCGAATGCGTCAGATAAAAAGGAGATAGATCTAGATCCCCAACTGGACTCGAATGCGTCAGATAAAAAGAAGGAGACGCATCTAAACCCCCAAGTGGACTCGTATGCGTCAGATAAAAAGGAGACAGATCTTAATCCCCAAGTGGACTCGTATGCGTCAGAGAAAAAGAAACAGACGCATCTAAACCCCCAAGTGGACTCGTATGCGTCAGATAAAAAGAAGGAGACAGAGCTAGATCCCCAAATGGACTCGTACACATCAGATAAGACAACTAAGATAAACCTCGGTCTCCCAGTAGATTCGTACGCTTCACATAACAAAAATGAGACTCATCTGGACTTCCAAGCCGACTCGTACGCGTCAGATAAAAACGATTCAAAGGAAGACAACGGTTCCCTTGCCACAAAGGACACTGTTGAAGGCAACAGCCGTAATGAAGAAAACACAACCCTCACCGAGAAACCCCTTATGTTGATTATTATCGTGGCAACAAGCGTAGTGGTCTTATTGGTTTTTCTCATGACTATAGCTGTGCTATTGTACAAGAAACGGCGTCGTTCATCCTCAGGAACTCCTGTTTCTGAGAAGTCGAAGAACGACAAAACAGATGGATCAGAGTGAATTCATTATTCGTGTATTTATACTGCTTTGCTGTTGATAAACGACAAACACCTAAGTAGCTAATTTAGATTTGTTCTTCATAACTGATATAAAAATCATACGTAAATAACAGTTCTATCTAACTGTAAATATCAAATAATAACAATAAAATAACCGCCAGGGTGATATTTATAATCTATGATGATGATAACATGAGTCTTATGTTTGAATAATTAGAAGTAAAATGATGAAACACATTTTATATGTTTTGTTTACAATAATTCTAACGTTGGTATGAGGACTTTATAATTAAAGTGTATTAAATCAAATAATTCCATATAACGTTGCCATGACAATTTAATATGTCGAGTGATATACGTTTGTCACCATGGATTCAAATTTAGATAAGGAAAAACCAATTACACGTTGTCATGACAACCTCAAATGTCGACTTATGCACGTTTGTCACCATGGATTCAAATTTAGATAAGGAAAAAAAAAACAATTACACGTTGTCATGACAACCTCAAATGTCGACTTATGCACGTTTGTCACCATGGGTTCAAATCTAGATAATAAGCAATCAGTTACACGATGTCATGACAACTTCAACTCTAATGTGCACGTGCAATGAACAACTTAAATCATTTTTATTAAAAATTGTGAAATCTGGTTTCAGTTTATTGATATTTGCTTTTATTTAAATAAAAATAAAATTTCATTCGAGTTCGAATTCGAATTTACGATATAAACGTTAGTGAGTCACGTTCTTTTCAAAGCGTTTCAAAACGTTTTTTTATTACAATATTATTTTACTTATTTCTTTAAATTTACAGAAAAAAAAACTAACAAAACAAATATAATCTACTAATGTAGAGGATTTCGTTTTCCTTTGTACTGGACATTATAAACGTTTTTACTTCAGCATATCAGGAAAAGATTAATTACTTTTCGAAAGGTCAAGGTCATATGGAATATGATTCGAGTCACATGAATGATCGAACCGCGAGGAAGAAAAATAAATAAATAATCAGTCTCGCTGTTAATTACTTCCTATGACTTTAGCAGATGAAGAGAAGAAAACAGTTTTAGAATTTTATGAAATTTCAGACGAAACCAGGAAGAAGTTGAAACCGGGTGAAAAAGCTTAGCACGCTCGTGTTTTTGTTTACTCAGTAGTTTCTTTGTTTTTTTCTCAGTTAAAGATTTTACGAGAGACGTCTGCTTTAAGCGACGTGGACAAGAGGGTGGGGGTGATGAATTGTCGTTTTTTCTAGAGTCACACGTGACGCTGGGGTGCGTATTTCTCTAATAGACGAAAGAAATAACAACATTATAGACTAGTAGGTTTTATCTTATTAAAAACATAAAAAAAACTGACACATAAGCCCACATAGGCAACAATTTTTTACAACTTCAAATCTGTCATTTAACGAAACGAAATAAAATGCTACTCGGATAGCGAGCTCTTTTTTTCTTAGATTTGTTTTCTTTGTGTAGTGACGCTAATTATTCGAATGTTTTACTGCTCTTGTGTTGCTATCACAGGCTATTTCAAGTTAAGAGAAAAAGAGGTTTGTGTAATGATTACTAAATAAAACCCCTAGAAACTACAACAAACGTAATGTTTTCTGATCTTCATCGTGTGAAGGGTTTATCTTTATACATATTTATATTTTAATAATATCACATTTTACAGTCCGAATATTTAAAAAATTCTCTATGATAATTTGTGCCGAAAAATTCTTCAAAAAAGGCTTACGTTTTAGTATTTAATAATACATGTAGATACATCAAGTTGCTGTAATTAAAACAGATTTTTCTACCATCTATTCATCAGAAATATTGTGATAAATGTAACTATTTTTAACACGAAATACGCTTTGGTTCATCTTAAAATTAGTCAAGTTGAACTATTTCACTGATATTATCTATTTGAACTAAGATTGTCGACTCCGAAAAAAAACCCTAAAACTAATTAAATTAAACTATTATAATAAGAGGCATGACAAGGTATGTTTTAAATAAGAAAGTCGACACCAAAAAGTCCTAGTCAAGTTTTGTTTGTTGTTAAGCACAAAACTACACAATGGGCTATCTGTGCCAAGTCAAACCATTATGATAATATATTTTAACGGAGAATGTCAACACCAGATAATCCTGAAACTAGTCAAATTAGGATGATATTGTATGTTTAACTAAGAATTTTGACATCAGAATTATATTAATCGAAACAAAACTGTGCAAAGTTTCTCCAGTGCACATTTCGAAGCTTTGAAAGTCTTAATAAGAAAGTCATAATGAAGTTTAAAGATATAATGTGTAACATTTAGTGCTAACAAAGTCCGATTTTTGTGAAGAATAAAGGCCCCATGGTTTTGTAATCTGATAAACTTAGCATATACAGTATGGTGCTGCCATCTAGTAGTTTGTTTCTGAGTTAGTTTTGACAGTTTCTATTTCGTGTTTTACTTGACGTAACAAGGAATGTTATTTAAACTAAAAGAATATCAGTTTCGTGATTTGATGGTCCGAGCAAAGAAAACCTGACGCTGCCATTTAGTGGTCTGTTTTGATTTATTTTGAATGTTTCTATTTTATGTTATGGTTGACATAACAAAGAATTCTATTCAAACTCTAAAAAACAACAACTTGTGTTACCATTCACATAGAAACCTTCGACATTTGAAACCCGGACAACGACATATGGCGCATTTAGTGTTGATTATAATTATGGAAACTGTGTTTCTTTGAGTAAAGGTTCTTATGTTACAGCTCATCTGTGGTGACACACAAAACTTACCATAAGAAATATTATACAGGTAGTTGTGACACGCATACTGGTAATATATATATGGAATATTCCACAGATAGATGGTGACACAAAACTTTCTACAATAAAATCTAAAAGGCAGAAATCTGTTCGATTCTTTATGCGGTAAAACAAAAACAATAACAATTTTTTCCTCTAGGTACATTAAACAAAATTCATGTTTCATACATATATGGCTGCAATTATTTCCTATGCGCACAACTAAATGTTTCTTGCAAGTCAGCTAACGAATCACTATTTTCATATCAAGAACATTAAACTGACCATCAGTGCCTACCCCGCCCGCCCGTCTCTTCAAAGTTCGTTATATAACTGCAGTTGTCCTGGAACGACAAGTAAATTATCCTATCACAAATTAGAGAAGAATCGTGGGAGGTCAGGTGACAGGAGAGATGGAAGAAGCGCCATCTGACCATGAAAGTATTAACTCTGTGCGTATACGTGCACACAGTCAGCATACGGCGGGATCGTGATAGTTTTGTTATAGTCCGTTATAGTTTCTATGATGCGTGTGGAACCAGGCTGGATCCCTGTTTGTTTGGTGTTCATTATCAAAGGTAATTAATTCTAATTCGTGTTATTTTTAGTTCTCGAGTTTGAATGAAATGTTTTTATTTCAAGTTTCAAAATAGAGATTTGTTTCCGAGATCATCTAACTAAAATAGTCTGGAACTACCAAAGCTGTAGACAAAATTTACAATGCCTTCGTTAAAATATCTAAAACCGAACAGTCAGTCGTTAAAACACCCGACACTGAACAATCAGTCGTTAAGACAACTAAAGCTGAAGATTAAGCGTTAGAACATCAAAAACTGTAAAAAAACAACCTATTAAAACACCTAAAATCGATCAATTAGCCGTTGAAATAGCTAGAACTGAACAAAGAACTGCAAAACAGCTAGAACTGAACAAAGAACTGTAAAACAGCTAGAACTGAACAAAGAACTGTAAAACAGCTAGAACTGAACAAAGAACTGTAAAACAGCTAGAACTGGACAGTGAAATACTGAAACATCTATAATTGAACAAAGAACTGTCAAACAGCTAGAACTGAACAAAGAACTGTAAAACAGCTAGAACTGAACAAAGAACTGTAAAACAGCTAGAACTGAACAACAAAGAACTGTAAAACAGCTAGAACTGAACAGTGAAATACTGAAATATCTATAATTGAACAAAGAACTGTCAAACAGCTAGAACTGGACAAAGAACTGTAAAACAGCTAGAACTGGACAATGAACTGCAAAACAGCTAGAACTGAACAAATAACTATAAAACAGCTAGAATTGAACAAAAAACTATAAAACAGCTAGAACTGGACAGTGAAATAGTGAAACATCTATAATTGAACAAAGAGCTGTAAAACAGCTAGAACTGAACAAATAACTGTAAAACAGCTAGAATTGAACAAAGAACTGTAAAACAGCTAGAACTGTAAAACAGCTAGAACTGGACAGTAAAATACTGAAACATCTATAACTGAACAAAGAGCTGTAAAACAGCTAGCACTGAACAAAGAACTGTAAAACAGCTAGAACTGAACAAAGAACTGTAAAACAGCTAGAACTGGACAAAGAACTGTCAAACAGCTAGAACTGAACAAATAACTATAAAACAGCTAGAACTGGACTGTGAAATACTGAAACATCTATAATTGAACAGTCAGACGAGATGTATAATGTAAGTTTGGTATTGATATGAGAGCTAAGTTTGGTAGTGGTGTGTGATTCATAGCTAAATATTCTTTGCTATGTTCAACCAAAAATAGTTCTCATTTAGGAGAATAGTAATAGATCTTATCATGATGACTTTATAGATTCCTTAACATATAGTACATCTTATCATGATGATTTTATAGATTCCTTTATATATAGTAGATTTTATCATGATGAGTTTATAGATTCCTAAACTCCTTTACATATAGTACATCTTATCATGATGACTTTATAGATTCCTTTATATATAGTAGATTTTATCATGATGACTTTATAGATTCCTAAACTCCTTTATATATAGTAGATCTTATCATGATGACTTTATAGATTCCTTTACATATAGTAGATTTTATCATGATGACTTTATAGATTTCTTTATATATAGTAGATCTTATCATGATGATTTTATAGATTCTTTTTACTATATAGTAGATCTTATCATGATGACTTTATAGATTCCTAAACTCCTTTATATATAGTAGATCTTATCATGATGACTTTATAGATTCCTTTACATATAATAGATATCACTATTGTGATAGTCTTTGTATTCAGATTTCAAAACCCACTCTCTCCTTCTTTCGGAGCTGTTTGATACAATAGTAAAAGCACAGATATAGATACATCTTGTATCGATAGTGTTAGGGTCGTCTGTTCCCGTAATTTAGAGCATTGGTCTGAATTTTGTGGTTGTTAAAACATTACTGTAACGCCTGTACAAGAATAGAGTGACTAACTAAAAAGAAAAGTTAAACTAAGGAAACAAATTCGTTTTAATTTTTATAAAATCCCTTGCGTGGTAGCGTACAGTAGTTACACACACGAAGGATTCTTCTTGTGTGACATTATATTTATTTGTACTTAAGCACGTGACATCCTTTTCAAGCGCAACTGCTTCAACCGACTAGTGTATAGACACAGGAAGACCATCAGTTTCAATTAAATCAGTGAAGTACTTTATATGACACAAGAAATGTGTAGTTAGCATTGGTTGACTTGTATCACAAAACAGTTAGCGTATATACCAGTATTAGCTTATAGAGACCACAGCTAACGTATGTACCACTATTAGCTTATAGAGACCACAGCTAACGTATGTACCACTATTAGCTTATAGAAACCACAGCTAACGTATGTAC